TTTCCTCCTCGGGTTCTTAGTGGAACATAGAGGTTCAGTAGCACGCCTCCATTCGACTCTTTTCTCTACAGTCTTCAAAACCTGGCACCACCAGGGCCCCAAAGCTTTCATTTTTTCCTCACATTATCTCCTCCATGTCACCCTCGCCTCAGACACCCCACTCGTCGTTTCCCATTTGGATTCAACTCGAGGGGTTAGACTGGCCCGGCATGGCTTAGCGCGTGATGTCCCCGAATGGTCTTCCCAGTATATGTCCAATCCAATCCATCTCCACTTTCTTCTGCATATTTGTTGAGCGATAGCTTCTTGGTTGGTTCGTTGCCATCCAACCAGAGTTCCTTGTTTATTCTTTCTAGTCATCTGATCTTCAGTATTGAGCCAGCGTAGCCAGCTGTTGATGAATGTCTGTAGTTTGTTGGAAATGCTTTTCGGGAAGCGCCGCCAAGTCTCTCAACCATCAAACAGAAGCACTGACTAGACGTTAGTGTTAAAAATCCGGATCTTGTTCACGCTTTATGCTGACTGCAGTGCAGTGGAGTAGGTCCTCACACTGGTTTCAGGTTAATGAAGGCTTGTTTTTCTGTCTTTCAAATGCTGGCATAGACATCGTTATCTGTGTCTGCGCCGCCTGTAGTTGAAAGTATACTGCCTTGCCTAGGTAGGTGAAGAGTGCTCATTCCTATAAGTTTCTCCCTTTCTTCGTGATTTGTGCTTGTTGTTGGTTTGGTATCTTCGTCACCGTCTTCTTTACATTCACTTAAAGTCCCATTTTCGATGTCTTTCCCGTTAACGTGTTAGTTTTTGCCTGTAGATCCTCGAGTTAATGCGACAAGATATTCGACAAAAACCACCACTGGCGAAATCCAAACCTTCTAGGCTCTTTTCATTGGTATAGAGTATGCAAGTTATTTTCATAGATAGCCTATATACTCATGATTAAATTGAGATTGAATTTTTATCAGAAATTACTAATTTTAAAACAATGGCGTGATGTTACTTGTTAAATTGTAGTCATAGTGCTAAAATTCTTTCGTTTCCTTTTTCCATAATTGTACAAGTATTCAGTGATTGGATCACTGATACCTAAAGAAATCCGATTGGATGGTAATATAAGGGAAGAACAGAAAGTAGTTAGTTTTTCATCATTTAACAATAAATATGTCTGGGTAGATACCTGATTAACTGTGAACTTCTAAACCTCATTAAACTAGATTTAAGTTTTTTTAAACATTTACATAGAGTAACAACAACGCCATGCCATTTTTAGCCGATGAAGCTATTCTCGATACATCTAAGTTATAAATTGAAAGATGCAACCGATCAACATTACTATTCAAAAGTTAGTGACACAAACGAGTACTAACTAATCTGTTAAAATATTAGGTGAAGTTCAACTACTGGTTGATCGTTTATTCATCAAGAAACTTGATCGATACCAATGTGAATGTTTTCAATGTTATTTCACTTTAAGTGACACTATCATAACTGGTTAGAAAAAGATATCGAATTCGTCCATGCTTTTATGAAAGTCTAAACGTTTGCTTACAAGAATAACTTAAAAACAACTAGTTTGATGCTGTATCATGGATTCTGCTGCAGCATAAGTCAAGGAACTAGTGGCTAGTAAGCATTCTATGTAAAATAAAACATATGTATCAGCCTAGTTTTGGATTACTTAGTTTGAAGTTGCTCTCCTCTATGAAGGTTAAGATAACATATGTATACTGAAACTTTTACTTCACAGTTAGACAAGGCTGTAAGCATTTGCAAATGTGTATGCAATCTTTAAGTTTATAAATATTTAAGATTTGGTACCTTCTAGAGTTTATTTATTCATCATATGGGTAAATTGAGAATTTAAATAATCTAAAGACGCTCTAGTCAGTATTTTGAAGGATTCGATTACTCACTGTTGGAATCTAATAACATGGTTTTTATCTCGAACCAAACTTCAATGCGATATAAAACTCATAAAGAAGTAATCAGTTTGAAAGTATCTCAGGAGTTAAAGGCTTTTTAATGAGCAATTACAGTTAGATTATTCGACTGGAATCAAATAATCATGATTCAAAGCTTCTTTTACAGACTATTAAGTTCCTAAAGTTTTAACATGAAGTTACTTATTGACGTTGCAACTAATAATACTTGATAGCAGTTGAGTTTTCTCAAGAGTGAAGAACTAAGTTTTCATCTTGGCGCTTTCCAGTAACATGCTAATAATGCAATCTCTGATTGTTAGATCACTTATCTTATAGGAATCCTGATTCATATCCCAGAGAGGGTTAATGATTTTGGAGAAATTAGCTGTCATCTGTGTAATGTTATAAAATTGTTCTCTTTATGATACTGTTCTTCAAAGATGTATTATACCAAGACGTGAAAGGATTACTGTTAATTTATATATATATGTATATATATATAAAGTACTAAAGGTAGAAGTCATGCAATAAACCAATATAACTCAACATATGTATGTATGTTTTCTTTATATCTAATTCTTTTTCTATCTATCTTGTGAATAATTTGAGGCAAGGCTAAACACCGATGGTTCCTGTTCGATCACTTCGTAAGTTTATCTAAATCAAAGTAAATAAATGAACCAACATGTCTACATTCACACATTTGCTTTTATCTTAAAAGGAAATCAATATACACCTTAGACCAAAAATAATTAGAAACAGTAATGATGATAGTAATGATAATAATAGTGATATCATTAAAGTATACAATCAATATGTTCATAATACAAAACTGCTAATACTTCTAATTCTCTTATTTGTACCATTATCATTATTATCATTAAAAGTATTCATTAATTAACCAAATTTTAGGGTTGATTACAATTTACGCTCTTTTCATCAAGAATCAATAAAACTAGTGCTATTTTCTGACTTTCAATGGTGTGATTTCACCTGATCCTAATCATTTTTATCCTCTCATTTTTATTAATTTATTTCATTCACGTTAACAGTTGAAATCTTTCATAAATGATATGCATATGATTACCTTTTTGAGAAGATTCATATTACAAAAATATTGCATGTAAAAAACATGCTAAGATTTTTAAATAAAGCACTCTATTATAGCTGATTAGCCTAACTATATATATATATATATATATATATATATATATATATATTATATATATATATATATATATATATATATATATATATATATATATAAGTGAAGACTATGATGAAACTGATAACTTCCATTATTGTCTGATAATTTAACGATGGTATAGCTATAGATTTCTTGGAAACTTTTTCATTTTTAGTGTCAACTAATGTTTCACAAACTTTAAATTGATTGAGAATCATAATTTACAGCTGTACTTCTCATAAAATGTGTAATAAATCTGATAAAAGATTGAGTTGTTTAAGAAAATGGGAAACGTCTAAGGTCATGTTCATTATTTTGGTATTTATATTTGCCTGAAAAGCGAAATAAGGACATGAAAAAACAATCTGGTTTCGTTTTTCATCCACTGTTATGATTTCCCTTTAGAGGCGATTTTCATTGCATCTTGATAATGAATATGTATTCATCTAGTCTTCAATGAAATCTAAAATGTGCATTATTTCCTTATGTTACATAATCTGAAATCAGTTTTATATTAATACCACATACCTTTGTGAATGTTTTTTGATGTTTCACAGATTACTTTGACTCCAACAAACTGCTGACCAACTTTAGAACTGCTGTATGTTAGTGTGACTTGTGTTACTTGTGCTACTTATGTCATGATGCATAAGTAGTATATCGTATGACATCCCCAAGAAAACCAAACTGAGTTATCATTCAGGCGGTAATGTTTTTGAAGGTGAAAGCGAAAAACATAGGAAGCACATACAAAAGGCAACAGAATTCAAAGACCGAATCACCTTACATGTAGGATGTAGAGGTTATTTGAATTGAATATGTTCAGTCTATTTTCGTCATGTTTTCTGAAGTAACAACGGTATTTCTTATCCAACTTCTCTTGATGAACGGTTAAACATGAAAACCTTTTGTTGAACATGTTCCACGCAAAACAGTTTTTCTTTTCTATGCCCCAAATGACTTGGTCGTTAAATTCAGTTGTTTGTTGATTCTCACCCTGTAGTTCTTTCTTGTATTTTCATAACTTTCATCAGACAGAAACTTTACTGCCTGAATGACATCTCTTCTTGCTTTACTCATGGGATACTAGCGTTATTTAGTCTTTGTACGTGTTTGTGTAAGTAACACACACCAAATGAGTACTGAAGTTATGCTGACGATTTCATTACAAGCTTTTGGATATGTTACCATCATTTACTCACATGTTTACGATATATAGTTTTCGTTCACTATGACCTAACGAAGAGTATATTTTATGCATACTGGTGGGATATAAATGCCTAAACATCATGGTGAATCCTTAAGACATTGCCTTCATTCTGCTTTTATAAAATAGTCCTATTTGGTTATCGATAGAGACTAACAATTTAGAAAAGCTGTGCTCGGTATTAAGTCTGCATATGAAATAAAATCTGGTTAGACATTATAGCTAATGTGTAACTCATTCGTAGAGTGACTGTACTAGCATAACCTGCATTTTCTCTGCCTTTTAACCATATCATGACATATAAAATTTACAATGCCCAGTTTGATTCATCTAAAGTTGAACTGATTTACTTACTTATGGAAGTTACTAATTAATAATGAATTTCTAATCTACCCACGATTAATTCGTAAAATGTACATTGTGATCGGCTTACTTACACCATGATTCTTTTTTCATTATTATTAGTGCACTATGTAAAAGATTATCTGGAGACTAGTACAAAATGATTCTTTTTTAATGATGATTACTTTGAAAAGAAATGAGTGATAAGACAATTTTTGCCAATTATAAAATTGCCTAAAAAGAGGTTTATCATCTATCCTACTAACAAATGATTGATTATCTGGCGAATAAAACTCAATTTTACTATACCCTTCTAATTCATGTTCCCCTTTTGCTTTTATCTTAGAAATTACAGCAACGTCAGTTGAATCCATTGGTCTCTTTAGAGGTTGGTCTAAATGTATATTATTTGTTTGATCCCATACATTTTAACACTTCCTTCTTTCTTTCCTTCTTACAATTTGCATTTATGCGTGCATATATATATATATATATTTCCTCATGTGTGTGTACAAGCTGCTGTTTATCACCCTAACTTTCTATGCTAATATCTTCACTTTGCATGCATCAGCCGTGTAAAACATTTATTTACATTAACATGTAGAAATTCACCAGTCATTGTGTTTCGCTTCTTATAAAACATATATATATATATATACGCACAAAATATCTTTATTCCTGAGGAAGTCTAGGTTTCATAGAAGGTTTTGTTTATTATTTCAGATTTTAAGTGACTTATGCCGCAGAGATGGTCTTGGTTCACCAATATACAATGCTATACCTGTCGATTTCATTGATCCATCCACGGGAACAAAATTCAGCTATATGTTGGACAAGTAAGAATTGGTTTTACTTATATCATTCCTATGATTTCTCTTTAAGAAATCATGCATGTTAAGATTGATGCTTTCAAACCTTTAATTTTGTTTTGTGACATTTCACAAGGGAGTATTTTGTAATCTTCATTTCCTCTTTCTTTAAATCTTGATAACCTTCACTCAGAGGAGCTGATCTCTAGTGTACAGCTTGTTGCATTACTGCATGATGCCAGATACTTTGATGTTTACCTTTCTCTTGTTATTCATGTATATATTTGCTAACGCATTCACTCAGACACTTCATACAATAGTTGGAAAACTATCTTTAACAGCGTTGTGTTTCGCAAGAAGTATTCCGTAAAAGGATACTTCTCGTTGTGAATTGTTTCATGGTTGCCTTACTCATTTCTTGATAAACAATTTTGTAAGTAACTACGGTTAAAATCGGTTAGATTACTTCTGGTACTGGTTTTTTCAAAAGAACGAAAACTTATCACAATACTAGGAAACGTTGTTGTTAGTTCAAAATAATGTGTACAGTGTGACCTTTTGGTTACGATCTTGTTGTATCGATGGAAGCTTTGCTTCTTAACTAGATGGATGACGTAAGATGTCTCTATCGACTTTGTAATAATTCAGTAACCTTTTTCAGTATATGGAAGAATAATGAAGTAGGAAGGCCGAATCACAAGAATGTCAAGTGAGTATGAACACTGGTCACTTCCTTTAGATAGTTATCAAATGTCATGTGAATTACACAATATCTGAGTCTAACATTTAACAGAAACTCCTTTCTTGATGTAGACTGGAGATACAGATTTCAGAAAACTTGCTGACAAACTCTCAGGAAGGAACCCTGAGAAGTCTGTTTTTAGAGATGTGAATAAAGCTGATACATCAATTTTGAGTACCGTACTCTATTTCAAAGGCATATAGTGAACAGATTAACAGTATCATCTTTGCAAACGATTGATATATGATTAGTGTGATTTATGATTAAGTTGTTAACAATTACTCAACACCGAAATCGTATTATACATGCATATTTAAACGAATTCAGTATAAAATCCCTGGATGTGTTTTATCAATGATTTCAGTGTAAATTTTAAGTTATATTTCGCAGAATTCAATCATTTTAAATGCCTTGTTTAACTAACTACATGGGAAACAAAACAGTAACTATAATGATATCAGTTGACCCAATTTGACATTCTTTCCAAATATCTGTATATAATGAGTCTAATTGACATGTGATTTACACCATAATTATTGATTTTCTTTAAGCGTGCCGTTATGCACTTTGACTGAAATATAACAGAACTCTTGTAAACATAATTCGGATTAAAATATTTTCTGAGATTAGTTGAATATCTCTACAAATAATGAAATATTAATCAATTGATTCGTAAGAAAAACAAGCATTAATATTTAGTGGAAAATAAGTATGAAGATCATTTTTATTTTTGTGCTCGTAAATCACACCATCTCCGATAGGGTTAACTGTAAATAGATTTTAAATCTAGCCATCAGTCAACTTTGATGATTGGTGTGTCATTAAAGCACTGGATTACAATTATAGGCTCAGTAATTTAATTCCTATCGAAATAAAATTGCGACCAGTTTCGCAACCTACCAACCATCTATACCTCAGTTACTAGTTAGCATTAGTAATGAGAACTTGAATGTCCTGTTTATTACGAGAATATACCTGTCCGTTCAGTAGCTAATAACTTGACCTGATGCTCAGTGATACAGACATTAAGGTTGGTGCAACATTTGCTACATTGAGGTCCCAACATGACAGCAAAGTCAGTTGGGTAGTGATTTGAAAATGTGGCTACCACTTTAATGTACTATTTTACTCTGTGATGGGTTTCGTGAGTGAAATCCTACCAATAAATGAACAAGTGTATGACTCCAGCAAGATTTTTCTGGTTGAAGGCCAATAGTACCATGCTGAAGCCACCTTCTCCAAGGGAAGGGGAAGGGCTTATAAAAGATAGTCTCCCAAAATATCACTCTATTCCCTACTATATGCTGGATTTAAAACGAAGAAACACTTACCTCAAAAAGGCCTAGTGTGACGAGCATCAAGCAGATATCCCATGGACATCATGGTCACACACCACTATTGTTCACCCAGCTTCTTCAGGGGAATCAAGAAGTAAGCTTTCACGGAATGGACAGCCGTGAAGAGTCAAACGCACTCCCACATCTGTCACCGTTCAACTTACTTCAGATCATTATCAGTTTTCAAAAGCTTCACCTTCTAATTGCTCTACAAAACTCTCGATCAGTATTCTTACACCCTCTATTGTTTAATTTAGCTTCCCAGACACTGTTAAGGTTTCGAGTTCACTGGTCAATATCTCAGTATCCTAGAACCACAGTTCAAACTGCATATTCAAGAGTTCAATGTTTACATCTGTCGTCAAACTTGACAACAAGCTTCGCTAGACAAAACTGTGACATCATGGGCTATAGATGTACGTTAGGTTTGCAAAATATACGTTTGTCTCAACGTCGCCATTAACTTCACCAAAAACAAGTCAGTGTGATGAATCTACTAAATCCATGCCTTTCGACTTCCTGGGGACCCAGTGACTACCTCTCACGGTGATGCAAGTGTAAACAGAGCGTTAAGTCTTGTGGCGGGAAGCTCACTGATTGGCTACATCCCTATTAACAGCCACCTGTTTTCTGTTCAAATGAACAGCACAGCAAGGACTTAAAGTAATGATGAAAATCGCCATTCTCTTTGTGTCGTCTCTGCTCACACACCCAAAGACTACAGTTTGGATGAAGTGGAGGATGAATTCTACTGGAAACTGTCAATTCCTCAACAGAAAGCACAACGTTCAGATGGAGTTAACGTAGCAGGTGATTTTAATGCACAAGCGCTTGAGCTAAGTCAGACAGAAAGGTATTTCATTAATGTAGCTGAGTGAACAGACAGCGTTAATTGTTTTCATAACTTTATTCAGGCAACTATTTATTTCTGGTCATTTAAAACTTCAAACAAAGGACAGATGTTGTCTGATATGTCATCCACTGATCAAAACTTAATAGAATGTGCAGACTGACCAAATCTCAGTTAGTTATCACTGGTGAGCGTCAGTGAAGCATTGTCATGCCTTCCGGACCACTTGGACAATGGTCACGATATGGTTCCTGTAGGCATATGTTTGTTCTTCCACAGATGTAGGAAAATCTACGGGAACGAGATCAGACCAGGCGCAGCTTGACGATGAAAATACTCAGGCTGCTTTCAACAGCTGACTATTCGAACATTGACGAGAACCTGATAGCATGTCCAATCGGCTACAAAATCATTTTCAAAGATCGTAAATGACCCTCGAAAAAATGTTTCAGGGGGTCAGGGAATCTCAACACCGTCTTGTGAATTAATGGATGCAGTCTTACGCCTTCAGAAACTGTTTCAGCACGGCGAGGAGGAGAAGCGATTCACGCGCAGACTGATAAAGTGTGCAAGCAATAACTATGGTCACTGGTGGGTAGTGAAGGCTAAAGAGAGAAAAAAGGTTAAGGTAATGAGTAGCTTTAAACAGTCATTTAGACTGAGCAAGGGAACTGGAGGAAATAATCAGTGGTTAATGAGACTATAGGGGAGTTGGGTGGTCCTGCAGTTCACCCTCCGAGAAGACAAGTGAAGCGAAGGATGAGACGTTTCTAAGGGTAGTTGAACTGGTTTCTAGCTGCCGTACTTTTGCTCGCTAATTAATCGGATCTTAAATATAATATTGAGAAAAAACTTCTGATCATTAACGAAGTTTGGAAGACTGTAGGTAATTTGAATTGAGGAAGAGCAGTTAGACCAGATGAATTATTATCAAAAGTATTTAAGATGGTTGTTGAGCATAAGCAGGTAGAATAATTGCGGTGTTAGCTGATGTGTGGAAATGAGAAATGATCTTGTCTGATTGGTCTTAATCACTGTCCCAGTCTTCAAAAGATAGAAGATATCATCTCGTGATAACCACAAAAGGATCGGTCTTATAAACATGATATCGAAAATTCTGGGTTCTGCAAACATTAGACTTCTCAGTAAAGCTTGATAGCTGCAAACTCTAAAAATGCAGATTGGTTTTGAAAGTGGTTGTGGATGTTGACCAGACATTCACCCTCCACCAAGGTTCTGAAATGCGGCCAAACTTACCGGCACCTGACAGTTGTATTTTTCCATCTGAAGTCAGTATTCGACTTCGTTCATTGAGAAATCTCATGGCGATGTCTCTCGTAGTAACTGGTGCTCTGCAGAAGAATCTGTATTCGAATATTCATGGGTGTTTTAGAAACTGTCGTGAGACATTAGGTGACGATTTACGTGCAGTGGTGTTCACCATCAATGTCAAAATTCTCCATTCTGATTTAAATATCACAGACATGCCAATGAATATCTCCTTCTTCTTGATTACTTTTTTATCACTGACCTCATCATGATAGTCTACTTAGTAGAGCTAGAGTACGTAATTGATATATTCTCTTAAGACTGCTGTTATTATTTGACCCGTATTGTATCGCAACAAATGAGGATATACCATCTGATTGCAAGTTAAGAAAGATATAATCTACAAAATTAGTTGTAAGGACTATCAGCGTCATTACGTTAGCCAGTTCAGCCGTCTAATAAGCCAAAGAACTTATCAGTACCAACTTGCAGTCAAACGATATGATATAGCCTGATTCATTTCGATACAGGTAGATAAACACAACTTCGATGGGAACAACTTGGAAATACTCCAGAAAGGAAGCTCGAAATCTGGCACAGAGTTAGTGGAATCATGGAACTCTAATCAAATATTTTCGTTAGCTTTATATATCACGACCAAAAGGCTTACGCTTCAATCACACAACTCGTATTGTTCATGACAGATTAAATAGACATGTTTTGTATTTTAGTCTGATCGCTTTACTGTATTATTCTAGAATGCATCTCAATTAGTTCTTTTCTAGACGTAATCATCATTTAGAGCTTGAAATAATATTTTAAGTTATTATTGCCTGATGAATTTTACTTGTTATTATTATATAATATTGTACAGTTAAAGGTTTACCTTAAAGTTATCAATAACTGTTCAAAGAATGAACTTGTTACTTAAACCCTGAGTTTGAGACAAATACAGCGTTACACTTATGCGTTGAGTGACGTGTGTCAGTTTTCAATAATGTAGCTATATACGCATGTGACTATAACTGGATCACGTTTAAAGTTGAATCGTCATTTCACCTCGTTTTGTATGAATAATTTATGTTCAATATCACACAAGGGTTAAATATAGCATAAAACAGGAAGCCATTTTATGCTGATTATCATATTCAATACATATCTAATAAAATTGATATCACTGAATAACACAGCTTGCGTAACAAAACAGTAAGTAATAAAAATATGACTGTTATTGGTTGTGATGCGTGAACATCACCTTTGAATCTGTCCACCTAAAAGTCTCCATTTAATATGTAACACAGTTCATATAGTGAAGACTTTGCAACTGTCTAGGTTGCATCAAAGACTGTCAACAAACTCACTGCATTAAGCACTGTTAAAAACTCTAATTCACATCACTGTTAGCTAGGCATTTTAAGAGTTAACTATACCTTACTATATTGGAGTAGTTACTGCCCACGACACTTTTAAATACAGGATTCATTTGGGTGATGTATATTCATTGAATCTGTAATATTGCCGGAGAAAGTCTGTAGTACCGATAGATAACTTGGCTTATACTGGATTAACCTAAAAATGGATTCATTATAGATACAACCTATCTAAACCATTTCAGTAATTTTACTCATTAATTTATATGAGGCTGAAGACAGACAGAATAAATAAACGTAAAAACTTGTATAGAAGTGCATCCGTTCGAATTGCCACACATCATAATAGCATAAAAACAACAAGTGGATCGTGAAAGGCTGATATCAAAGTAGACAAAGGTATCTCCGAGAAAAAACATTTTCAAGATAAAACTCAGTCAAAATATCCAGGCCTTTGAAAACGTCAAGCAGTGAATACATCTCCGCTATTGTGACTGATTTTCAGTCATGTCTCCAAGAATCCTCAACCACCGATTCCTGTAGTCTCGGGGACCCAAGCCAGGTAGTCTGCATCACCTATCACTGCTCAAACCAACAGTCATGAACTTCGTCGATTAGTGCCTCGTTTTGGTCCGGCCAACCTGAGCCATCTTCAGACCTACCGCAACTTTTCCTAGCAATATGTGTTGAGGGTGATGGTAACTCGGTAAACGCAACATATGTCCAAGTCATATCAGTTACAGAAGGTCCAAAACCTCATTAGGTGACTTGCCTTCCTTCACTAGCACTCTTCGCCTTATCTGGACATTGCTAAGTTAGTGATCTCACCATTCGCAAACAATGCTTAGAAAATAACTGTGGTCAAAAACCAGTAACGGCATCATACCTCCTGCCATCAACAACCATGTCTCATACTTGTACATCAGGAAACAAAGAACTAAAGCACAGTATACTACTCCTTTAATAGGGCTCTGTCATTCAATAATTCACTCCATTATAAGTACTGTTACTGATACAAGACTTACTCCGAGCTTTAATTGTCTCAATTCACTCAAAGTTTTAAGAGCTACCTCATTGAATTTTCAAACCACTTTACTGGAATTGAAAGAAACAGTTTACTTCGTAAGAAATTCAGAGACCTAAGCAGCATCACATCCTTCAACATATGTTGGTTAATGATTAGTTTTTCGAAGGTATTTTCTTCTATTTTGATCAGACAGTAATGTCTAATTCATCTCTTGATTGTACAGGTTTATATTCCTAACCTACAATTTCGATGTCATACGACACGCTTCTATACGACTCCTGCTGAAGCAAAACTTGGTGCTTCTGAAGTCGCGATTCAAAGTCTTCCATTTAACCTTCTAGGTTTAAATGAGGGTAAGAAATACTGGTAACTGACTATTTTTCACTTCTGAAATAATGTTACATTCCATTTCGAAATCTTATTTCTGGTCAGGCACTTCATCGTTAAAGATGTTTGTAAGTAGCCTAACAGCGATGTCTTTGAGTGTTTGTGAAGTCAAATATTCAAATATCAACACGAAGTTGTTTGAATCTGCAAATAAGTCTGGATAATGAAAAAAAGTAACCATAAACACTGGACTTTTATCAATTATTCAAACCTATATAACAGATGTACAATGTGATAACTTTCAACACCGGAGAAAAAATATCAAGCAACTATTATCGAGAGTGAACTGTTACAGCCGATGCATTGGAGAGTGTGGAAACTGAAATATATAGTAGTCTTCGAGTAGTATATGTCTAAAGACATTATTACTCCAGCTTTAATCCATATAACAGTGGAACTAAGTATGAAGTTACCCTGTAATAGTAGTCAATAAGAGATGGGACCTTGAAGACTGTTTTCCTTTCCAGACAAGTGTCAAAGGTTTCTAAATGTATATTTTAACGTTGGCTGGTTACAAACATTTTGCTATCACTGTCATCTACTCCATCTTTAGAGAAATAATATCCTCCTACTTACTAGATGGTGACGATTACAGCTAATGAATTTTTACATGTAAAATGATTACATAGTTTTGTGGGAGGGAAACTAACTCTATAATATTTGGGTTTAGGTAATTACAAAAAGTAAGTAAAGACTTATTATTGAATAGTATCTAAACTGTAATAAACACACCAGTTCAGTCATCACACTTATCAAGTATTCTTCTACTGAAGAAAAGTTAGTTTTCCATCATTAGGTACTATGGTTAGACCTAAATGCTACGTAAAATAAAATCTGTAGTTGTACCTCTTGTCATACAATTAGTACTGCCATTTTTTTCTAATAAACTGGAAATCCCTACAGAGGTTGCATGATGTGGAATAATCCAACAGTTTAATTGCTCTCATTAGCTCCGTAAACAGATTACCTTCGAGGAAATACACCTAACGCTTGTACTGGGAAGAATCTGCAATCTGTCTATCATCACAGAGATTAGTTGTTCTCTTCTACTGGCATCTGCAGGCTGCTAACTATCCTTATGCCATAAACATAGTACACTGTCGACATTAGTAAGCATTTTAAGATATGCATAACTGCCTGCTGATTATGACTACTTCATAAGATTTCAATCTGCAAATAAGTTTTCATAATACAAGTAACTGGTATCCTCTTAAATATAAGGATATCTGCCTACTATTGTGCAAAATGTTTTCTTATTATTATTTGTCCCTTGGGTTCCTAGTGGGACATAAGGCTTCAGTAGCACGTCTCCATGCCACTCTCTTCTTTCCAGTCTTTTCAAACTGGCGCCACGACTGCCCAGAAGCTTTCACTTCTCTCCCACACATGATCTCCCCTATGTCACCCTTAGCTGGGACGCCCAACTAGTGGTTTCCCACTTGAGTTCCACTCCAGCGCCTCGACTGGCATGGCCTGGAGCGTGATGTCCCCAAACGGTCTTCTCAGTATATGTCCAATCCAATCCAATCCATCTCCACTTTCCTCTTCTGCATATTTGTTGGTCGATGAGTTCTTCGTCGGTTGATTCGTTGCCAGCCAGTGTGAGTGCCTTGTTGATTATTCTCATTATTCTGGCCATCTGATCTCCATCTTCAGTATCGGGCCAGCGTAGCCAGCTGTTGATGCATCTCTGTAGTTTGTTGGAAATGCTTTTCGGGAAGCGCCGCCAAGTCTCTCAACCATCACACTGGAGCACTGACTTGACGTTGGTGTTGAAAATCCGGATCTTATTCACGCTTTATGCTGATTGCAGTGCAGTGCAGTTAAGCAGATGTCCACACTGGTTTCAGGTTAATAAAGGCTTGTTTTGCTGTATTTTCGATCCTGGCCTTCACCTCCTCATCTGTGCCTGTGTCGTTTATAGTTGAAACGATGCTGCCTTGCCTAGGTAAATGAAAAAGGCTACTTCCTTAAATTTTCCACCGTTGATAGTGATTGGAGCTTGTTGTTGGGGGTAGTGGCGTTGGTTGGGTATCTTCATCACCTTCGTCCTCTCTATATTCAATTGAAGTCCTGTCTTTGCTGCCTCGCCTCTTCTGTCAACTTGTTGGTTTTTGCCTGTACGTCTTCGAGTTTGTGTCACAAGTCATTGGGCATAGTTCATCACCATCGACAACGGCGAAATCCAAATCTTCTCCTGGTGTCTTTTCATCAGTCCAGCCAGTATATGTCTCTCTTCTCTCCTCTCACAACTACCTGTTTCATAATCCAGTCCAGTTGACCACAATCAGGAAGATGATCTGTGTTGACAGTAGGCAGCAGCTTTGTCTTACTCCTTCCTGTCTTCACTTCACTTCAAAGGCATCACTGAGCTTCCCATTATGAGTCACTTGGCACATAGCACCATCACATAGTTGTTGAATGAATTTGATGAAGGTTTTTGATACCAAAAGCGTTGAGTAAAAGAAGTTTCCAAATTAATTCTCGGTCGACTCTGTCGCTCTTTTCAAAGTCGATGAAGTTGAGGTGTGGATTTGACCGGGATTCTATGCTCTGTTCAATGATGATGTGTAGCGTAGCGTTGCAATTTGGTCAGCACTTGATTCTGTCTTCCTGAAGACAGCCGGCTAGCCTGTCTCGGTTGTAATTTTGAATTTAGAGCACCTCTTAATCTCTCCAGGAAGACGCGGCATAATATTTTGCTTTATGTGGACAGCAGAATTATTCCATGCCAGTTCTTGCAAAGACTAAGGTCTCTCTTCTTTAGAAGTTTGACAAGGTAACCCTTCCTCCAATCTGCGGATACCTATCCCTCCTTTCAAACCTTCTGCAATAGTGGTGTGGTTGTGTCCGCAGATGTTTTTGCATCTGCTCTCGGCGCTTCTGGCGGGATTCCATATGGTCCTGCTGCTTTCTCGGATTTCAGCAGCTTTATCGGGTTCAGGACTTCGACTTTTGTCGGGGGCTCGTGTTCACTGACAGTTCCGTGGCCAAACTGCAGGTAGTATTTCTGGACGAGTTGCAGGTGGTGGTGATGGTGGTCGATTCAAGAGTTTTGAAGCGGTCAACCCATCGATTCCTTTGATTCTCCTCTTTGGCGGTAACTAGATTTCCTTCACTTTCTCTCATTGGTCTCGTCTTTGTTAATTTCTTCCCAGATAGTAACCCTGTTATTTAATGTATTGCTGTCAGGTTCCTGTTCTGGGTGCTAAACCTGAACTGTGGTTAGTCACGAGCTTCTCTGAAGGCTTTCAACTTGATTTTGAAGGTAGTTTCCTTGCACCAGACAGTGAGTGGTGTGAACCTACATATGCTCCCTTTCTTCATCTTGTGTCCAATAACCTGCGTCTCCATCTTTACTTTATTCACATTGAGATGAAGTCGATCTCAATTTTAGTGTGTCTGGTGTCTGATGAAATCTCTGCCACTTTGTGAATATCCTTGTATTTGTACACACTTCATCGCCTCCAATCAACAAATCTTTAAATATGCAGAAATGTGCAAACAGTTCTCCATTCTCCTTCATTTCATCCAGCGCTTCTCGACCCATCATTGCCTCTCTTCAGGTGTTGTCTGCTCCCAGTTCGGCATTCATGTCACCAATTAGAATTTCGATGTTCCCATCATCCGTGGGGTCTTGTCCAGTACTGATTGCAGTTGTCTGTGGAATTCCTCATTCTTCTCTTCATACGCATTATTTGTCGGTGTTTGGTGTAGCTTTGCACGATTGTGACCTTCCTTCCTTCCTTCCTTTTGAGTTGAACCTTGCTGTTATGATCCTAGAGGAGATCGGTTCCCACTGAATGAGAGCCTTCGATGCTGTCGGAGAAATCATAATAGCCACTCCAAAACTCAGTGTGCTCGTGGTTGTCATCTGGGTGATAATGTTGGAGTAGATTATTGACTTTGTAGTTGACAGTATGGAGAGTCCAGATGCATTCCATCTACAGATTCATCACAGATTCCTAGCACTTCTATGTGATACCTTCTCATCTCTTTTGCAATCTGGGCAGCCTTGCTAGGTACATACATGATGAGGACATTCCATGTCCCCATGCTTACGTTTACTTTCATCGAGACATTAGAAGGCACATCGGTCAGTTGGCTTCCCGAAGGCTTTCACTAGCTGGTTCTATTTTGCCTCTCTGATTCCCACCAGGAATAAGTTTAATTTTATGTTTTATATTTTGTTTGGGCTTTGAAACTTCTTTTGAGGTTAGATTGGTTTTAAGGGGTAGGGTTAGTGGCCCTTCGCGGAACCTTACCTCTTTATCCTAGCTTGCGACCGGTTAGTAACTACTGAACGAGTTACCTAAGCTTTCTAGGAAATTAAACAAAACCATTTAGGTCTATCACAGTCAGCTGAGCTGTGTGAAAATTATTTACAATCAGGATAAGATATTGTCTCACGTTTAAAAGAACTTTCTATTTGATGTACAAATGAGTAAAAGGGAATAACAAGTTGACATCCATGCGCATGGATTCGACTTATTATCCTGATAAAAACGCGAAGTTAACAGAAACATAATGTTTATAAAATAAGCGAGAATAAAGGTCTTCATGAAGGGTAAACGACGATCCCTAACATCTCAGACAATAATCAGTATCTCTACACTTTCATGACTGACAAGAATACTCATGCATCACATACACCATTGTAATCTCCTAGTTTGTCTAACTAAAGTATTCTCCCTAGCTAGTTCTAATTCAACTGTTATCGTCGGCTGAAGCAGACAATGATGAACTGAAATCAACTTATCAACTTACCAGTACAAAATCTTAACCCTCACTGATTCCTCCATTGTTTAACTCGAAGCTATTTGCATAACATTAAGACTCCTAACGTTTCTTTTCTATTACATGGAGAAACATTTCATTCAGTTTTTTCCTTCAGGTACAAACAGTTGAATCACTTACTCACAGCAACATTAGATTTTTGTTTTGTAGTAGCTCTTTACGATAATATTTTGTAAAAATGATAGTGTACTCATGAGTAGTATACTTATGATGATAAACGTTGATCAGCTACAGACGAGAAGGAACTTTTTACATGTTTTAAAAAATGTTTCCTTTGATGAAATGTTATATACGAATATGAAGTTAATTCACAGGGTTAAATTTCTGTCCGTAATAATTTCAAGTTTGACACTAAACGTCATAAATATAGAATACCTCCCCAAATAAATCTGCTAGCTAAAAAATGAATTAAAACCTGGTCTTTCAATTCTTCAACGGGAAGCTAATCTTTGGTGTACCGAACAAATTCATTTCATAGAAAAGAGTCGTTCAAATCAACTTATTCGTGTTGTCTGACTTGAATGAACCAATATACCTGAAACAAAATGGTCGATTTGAAAATGATTCACAAATTACACGGTCGACTTTAACAATTGCCACAGTTCAAAAATTTTTCACCACCTAACTGGGGATATAAACAAGGTTTCTATTAAAAAGCATTTATATAAGATCGTAAAAAGAAATCTTCGATACATAACTGTCATGAACTAAATGGATACATTATTATACAATTGAATTGTTAAAAAAATTATTCAATTGTGATAAATGTTAACGTGTACCATTCAATTTCCAAATAGTTTTTAGACTAAAGAAATCTACTGAAATCAGTAAGTGTCCTCAGTTATATCACTTAAAAAAGGCGACTAAAAATTAGTCTGTTTAACTGTTTTGTATTTTTATAGGTCAATCTTCAAGTGGTGTAATGAGTGTTAGTAATAGTGAAATTGGTAGGATAGCTTTCATACAACCGCCAACTTCACTATCTACACGACAGCCGCAATCATTTAATTACAACGGTCATTTTAACGCCTGTAATTCATCAATACCAAATAGTAACAATTGTTTCTCTTTAACTTGTACATCGAACAACGTGTCAGGAACCTATGAATTAAATGCATCATATGTTTTTTCTTCTTCCCAGAATTTGAATAATATCCATTTAAACTCGTCAGTTTCATCAAATGTTAGACCAATAGTGAATTCAAATTCATATGGTCTAATCTATAGTCCTTTATATTCTATGCTTCCTATACAGGCGGTTAATTTATCTTCATCATCAGATTCAACATATTTTATGTTTCCAACTTCCTTCCAGAATATTTCCAACCAAACTTATTTTCCTCAAACAAATTTGAATTATCCACCACTGAACTCATATACTTCATGTTTTAAATCATTACCAATAAACAGTTTAAGTCATCTATCATCTCAAACAGGAAATAATGCATATTCTGGTAAAAACAGAAAAGGGGTTTTTTAATTCTGTTTGTTTAAAATGGTTCTAAAAGTTAGTATGTTCATTTTAGTGTCAATATTAGTATTTGGTTTATTTAAATACGAAGTTCATAAGAAATTTTCACAAAATTAATTGAATTTCACCTATTTTTTTTTCTTGGTTTATGTTAATTAGCTCTGGCAGCAAGTTATGCTCTGCCAATCAATTCAAGTATAATGCATTCAAATTCAACATTTATGCCAATGCAACTGTCCAGTAACTTACCGAACACATCCACTGCTCTCAGTTTGTTGCAATCTCAAGCAAATGTTCTACAGTTATCCGGTACGTCTAATTTCCCACTGAATACCAATGGATTGGCAACAGTCACGACCAATTTAACCAGCAATCATAATAACAATGGTCATCTTACAAGTGACTGTTCAGGAGCAGCGCTTTTAGCAAACGGATTTGACTACTCCTCGCAACTTATTACAGCTGGTTCATTAGGCAGTACTGGAATTATCAATGCAGCATTTGGCAATCAGCCAACTTATTATTTTGATCCGAACTCAATATCAGCTGCAGCTGCAGCAGCTATGTTAGTTGGACCAAATGGATTAGGTACAACTACGGCTGCTATACCACAAATTATTGGGTTACAACAGTCTCTAACAAACTGTGGTGGAAATGAATTAGGACAGAACTGTTCTTCTTCTAGTATTGGACAGTCATTCAATTCTGTAGTACCACCAACTGGTTTGTATTCTTTTGGCTTGCAGATACCATCAATTTCAACCACAATACCATCACAAACACAACCTACATCGAATTCGACATCACAAACAACATCTGTTATGAACTTAATTAATCAGACATATGGAAATCCTATTTCTGTATTCAATGGAAATTTATCGACTACACAATCGATTAGTGGGCAAAATTCACAAACACCTCTATCTGGTGCAGTACAAGTTTAAACCATGAAAATTGAGTTCAATGGGCAGTATGCTTTTGTTAATTCATTATTTCTATGTTGGTTTGTGCAGACACTTTTCATAAAATATTTTCAATTTTATCTGTTATCTTTCTTGAACAAGTTGTTTGTATCTTTTAAGGTGAACAGTGAACAATAAACTGATACCGAATATCTTTCATTGTCCTACTCATCCTCTTTTTTTTTTACTAAAATGGAATTATTTATCTCATCAAAATGATGGAAGAGAGAGAGAGAGAGAGAAAACGATGAAAACAATACACAATAGGAATTGAAATTATGGTCACCAGAAATGTCATTTGATTCAAATAACTTTTATTGAAACATTGATAACAACAACAAGAAGGGAATTATTTATCTGGTAACTGATAAATAAAAACTCACCTACTTAGTCACTTAACCGATATATTCTTATGCGTATGAGAATTTGTCGATAAAATGTCCTAGTAGGTGAATTTATTTATCAGTTGCCTGAATAACATGCATACAGATCAATAATTCCATTATTGCTATTGTTATCAACGTTTGAGTGAGGCTAAAAGTTATCCCTAGGTGTTATAGTTGTTCTGCATGAAAATACATATTTTCGGTGTTTTGAAAGTATTTATTATGAAGTGAAAATTGTAGTCGTTAATCCTTTTTGCTGTGATTTTAGGGCCTAACTAACTTATTTTGATTTGTAAGCATCATTCTTCATAAATAAATGTACTGACATCCTAAATAAGAGGTGGAAGTGAAAGTAACGCTTTGCATATAAATAAACTACATGAAATAGAAGGCGTTTTATAAACTAAATAAATAGGTATAATATCTATACAATATACAGAAAATAGGCAAATTGGCACAAAGAACGCTATATCCCATAACAAGCACGATAACATCTCGGGATAACTTTTAGCCTCACTCCATCTTTTCACTGATAGTTATTTGAATCAAATGACACTTCTGATGACGATGATTTCAATTCCAATTGTGTATTGTTTTCGTCTTTTTCTCTGTCTTCCATCTTTTGTTAAGTTGGGATAAATGACATGGGATTGCTGATCAGATTGTCAAGGAAAGTTAAACATGTGAATGCTTATCTTTAACTGTTATAAATACACAAAAATATTATTTGTTTTAAATTCCTCTTGTTCATTTTCATACCCCAGTTAATTCATAATTCTAATTAATAAACACACGACAAAAATATTTTACCATTGAATTCATCTTCCATAACCCATAAGCTCATGTTTGCTTTTATATCGCTTCAGCCAAGAATGAGGCAAGAAAAATGATAAACTAAGGTGACTATAGTAATTTAAACTCACCAACCACCTCAAATATGGGACTTATGAAATCGCCAGAAGATAAGAAGAGAATCGTCTTTAGCAAGATAACGGACGGAAAAGATATTGACTGCTCAGTGACTGACTGCTGTTACCTTTGGTTGAACACTCATATCACCCTGGGTATTCTATCTTCAGCTTACTTTGAATACGTACGCTTCACATTTCGATATCATTTTGTTGACTTAAATGTTGGCAAACTATAAACGAAATCAGTTATTTGTAGAGTCATTATTATACACGTCAGATACAAGTAGAGGACGTCGACCAAGAAAGGAAATTAAAATTACCAATAATTATGAATATAGAATAAACATTACTGCAATTTTAAATCAGTATTCCATAGGTGTCAAACTTCTGAGTTAACCTACACTAGGAAATGTAGAGAATTAGAAGTTGTTTCATCAACGTCAAACTTGAAATATGCTCATCTTAGAAGGGATAATATACTCAATTATTAGTTATTAGCAACCTTACTAAACATTTTACAATCGAAAAAGGTTTTATCTTGAATATTCGACTGGAATGAATACTTGAATTCACTATTTGTGAAGATTAAGTGACTGTTAAATCAGATTTTATTCAATTATTTAAATCATAACCAAGAAGATCTAATTACTTTTACGTTAAGTTCGGTTACATTCATTACGTTTACTATGTCAACGATAACTTTTTTTTTTTAATACCTTACACTACCTATTCCACAACAACATACATGGACCTATAGCTGTAGTGGTTGCAAAGGTGTTGTTGAAAATATATGTTGGTTTCAAGTATAATGGCTTGAAATGAATAATTTATCCATGACCAATTCTGTTCTTAGTAAACATTCGACTAAGAACTGTAATAGGTATACAATGCAGCAATATGAAAGGGTTATTAAAAAGAGGCATAACCTCATGAAGCTTTCCTCCTCCTAGTTTTACTCTAAATATTTAACAGGTCGCATTAGTTATTTGGAAGCTATTGTAAATATAATTTGTAGTACAAAATTAATCCAATTTAAGTCTACATTTTGTTGTCATGCTTCCTCTTAGTCCTTAACAAGCACTGATTTGTTTTAATTGTGCCTTTCTAACCTGACTGGTTACATTCAATTCAGCAGTGACCTTAACTCTTGAAACTGTATGTAAAGATGTTTTGTACATAAATTATGCTGAATTGTACTTGATTGAAATAAGAGAGACACAGAAAATATATGACTAAAAATTATATCAACAGGTTAGGAAAAGGTAAAGAACAAAATTAACATCTGTTAGGTTATTAAATGTGATTAAATTTGGTTTTCCTAATTCCTCTGCAAATTTGATTCATACCCAAATACTATATCGTACTGTAAAGTTGACTAGGAATCCTATCAGAAAGGGTATTAAGCTGAAATTCATTATGGACCGACATCAAATGAAAGAAACTTGGAAACCTGGAGGCACTGAACAGCTACTGCATCCTAGTATGGGACTCCTCAGAAATGCACACCCATGATCCCGCCTCGCTGGGGATCGAACTAAGGAACACTAGGTTCCGTGGCCAGAGCGTTACCACTCAGTCAACAGAGGTCAAATAATTCGATCCAGTATGACAACGGATAATTACAAGTACATCGACAAACAGTTTTAAACAGTTTATGTTTACTACTCTTGAAAGACTAGTTTGGTTTATTAACTTGAAACAACCTGGAAAAAATTATTCTCATCTATTCTTACTTACAAGAATTAGTTTCTTATGCTATTTCCTTTACAAAGAAAGCCATTGAGCCATAATAAGAGATGATGTACTTGTCAAAAATAAATTAACTGAGCGTTTTGTAATATTCATTCTCAACTCAAAGAAAGAAGAAGGTTAGTGTTTATCAGAACTCTTATTTATGCGATTTGATTTCAATGAAAACATGACCAGAACTCAAGCGTAGTAATTAAAATGGAAAAAAAAAATACTGAAGATACGATTTACAAAAGTATCGCTGTTTTATTCTTATCACTTTTACCATTCGTAGGTGATACAAACCGTGTAAATGAATCTATATTCTAAGAAAATAGATTCAAAGAATCTTCATATTCATTTTAATAACTAATAGTACAAATCTTTAGAATGCTTATTTTATTGGAAAAAGATAGACAACCACTTTCTTCAAACAACCTAATCAATGAAATAATGAGACGCTTGCTTATACAGACATAGCCAAGTAGTTACTATTTCAAAGTCCGGTACTTTTTAAAGCGTTTTGTAAGATCCAAATATAATTAATTACAGCAGATGATGTATGAAAATGATTATTCCTTACTATTCTCAAATTCACGAAGTTGAATCTGGCCAGCAGTTGGGCCTCGTAAGTCAGTTGCAGAACGGCGGGTCGAAAACCAGATGAACACTGGTTCACATCCATCCGCGGTTCAAATTTCATCTTTACTTCACCTTCAATAACCACTCGGTATAAATACTACTATGCTAAATCACGACTACTTCAGATGGTTGGAATGATAATCAATATGATGCTCCACCTCTCTAAATCAGTAATATTTGGATTGAAAAGAGAAGTCCTAACTAGGCAGCCAGTGTTAATACGATCAAGCGGTAATAACACGTCATGAATTCACTTGATAGTCGGGCAAAACCCATGGTTATTGTAGTGAAATAAGAGCCCGATTAGCAGTCGGACCCTGTAGCTCAGTTGGTTACCGCTGGTTCGAGTCCGGCTCCTATCCGAATTTTAATTTCACCTCAAATCCTTGCCCAGTATGAAAACTACTCAGCTGAAAGTGCAAAATACAGGATTTCTAATCAGTTATATTCTCAAACAATATACAGGTTCAGGTAAACCAGTCCATTTGCATGCTAATTTTGATGTACTTCTAGTCCAATTAAACTACAGACATCAGAATAAACAATTCCAATTTATACTTTATTCAGTGATACTATCCACCAACAAAGTTAGATATTTTGTGTTATCAAATACATTCGCCAACATTCTTTGTGTATAGATTGTTTCAAAAAGCAAACCAGTGATAATACTATGGTTCGCAGATATTTAACTAGATCATTTATCTCTTAATGCGTTGGACAATCCTTTGGATCTGAGAGTTATAGGCTCAACAGTGCTTTCCTTATCAATCTGCGAAAGTCGTTGTGATGACATTACACAACTGCAGATACAATTAATGAAATCACAGTTCTACTGTGAGTAAATAACAAAATGCCTAGTTTAAACAACGTAGTGAGAAGACGAAGATTATACGCAACATGTAATGTATTAGCGCTATACATTTCGAATAAACTGATCACAAACGTATCTGCCATTTCTAATCATGCGTTTCCCAGAAAATTTTATAAAACTTACTTTCCATAATCTCAAAATCACATTAGCCCTACTTGTTAACAAAAAAAAATAATCAGCTACCATTTTTAGGCATGTTACGTAGTTGATGGGAAGATAGTTCAATCTTAAGGTTGATGACCTACAGAAATTTAAGTGGAAAGGGTAGTATCTTAACTTTCAAAGCTATTGGATATATCAGTCTAATATAAACGTGGCTTAGTTACAGCTTGTTCAACAAGATAGATCGCACCTGTATCTATGATGCGAAGGAAGATGAAATTAAGTTGCTGATGATAACATGGTTACAGAATGGTGACCTACTGGGATTCACTAAAAGATGCA